CGTTATAATTGCTTATCTTTTGACCAGCTGGGTGGCATGCCGCCATGTTATTGAAACCAACATCTGAAACGTCACAATTCCAGTGTGAACTGCAAAAATGGCGTGACTGAATTGTCTTATTTTTATCAAATGAAATTATTTTCCCTTTTATGCCATATAAATGGTTGACTTCGTGGTAGAAAATCAGAAAATAATATTTTATGAGTCCTAAGTTTATTTTCACAAAATGTAAGCAAACATATTAAGTATATCCATAATATCAGTCACGCCTTTTTTGAAATTCTGGATTGAATCTTCTATTTGTTTACAAATTATGAGCTGTCAGTGGGGCCCACGATTCGCGGGCCCGCAGCGATGTTAACTCTTTTCGAGGCAAGGCAAACAAGATAGGGATGCCATCCAGCTGCTTTTGACAAATACGCGTATTTCGTCTACTACTTGCAGACTTCATCAGTGTCAAGTACTCAACACCACTTGAGTGTTGAGTACTTGACACTGATGAAGTCTGCAAGTAGTAGACGAAATACGCGTATCTGTCAAATTTTATGTGACAAACACATACTTTGTAACCCCTCTTACATAGAGATTGCTAAAGTATGATTGTGTAAGTGATTTGTTTTCATCGGGAAAATTTTCCGCAATGAAGTTTTTTTTCCCGATGAAAACATTTTGCGTATACGTATACGTGACGCACACTACGTACGATAAACGTCAGCAATCTCTATAAAACATGTGATCATCTGGGGGGGACGTGCTGTCAAATCAGCCTACTGATCATCTTGTATGAAACTGGTTCCAAACGTAAACAAACGCTGTAGGTTTCTTATGGCTTGTTTACGTTTGGAACCAGTTATGCGAGGTAGGCGACGATTGTTCGTATTTGACAGCCACCTCCCCCCCTTGGTGATCATGCCATCTTTTGGTTTTGTTATTCCGAAAAACATGTTTTAGCTTGAATGAGTGTTTCAAGCTGAACATTGCATTAGGTCCTAAGTAACATTAATCGAATCTCTTCGTCGACGTTCTCTTTCCTTAATAACTTGAGGATATAACCGTTTCTTGTTGTGTTTGTCGTATTAAATGCTAGACAAAAACTTCTTTTATCGATCTGTGTGCTGAAAATACATGGGAATGTCTTTACATGACCGTGGGGATGCAAAGAGAAAGTCGACGAAGAGAATCTGTCAGTGTTACTTAGGACCTAATGCAATGCTCAGCTTGATTTGCAACCTTGCCTATCAGCATCAGCATTTATGCTGGTGCTATGTTCGGTGAAATTACTTATTTTACTTCATTTTGGGAAGCTGAATCCGAATCTTAAATCAGATTTTGTTAAAATGAACGATTTCGTATCATAAACATGATTAATTTATATTAAAAAAAAAACTGATGATGATTGCCTACATTCGGGCGGATTTTTAGCTATTTCGCAAAAAAATATGCAGTGTTTTCGTAAATCATAACTTTTGATGACTTTTTAACACCAGATTCTTTTTCACCGAACACAAATCTAGTATAACTTCTAACTTCTGAATATTGCAGAATGGATAATTTGCATTTTTAATCTAATTTTAATTATAGTCAGTGGTAAGGCCATCCTTCCGACAAGGTCAGCCTTGCAGGAATGGTTCCGAAATCTCAGCAAGTCCTTGGTATCGCCATCTTGCCGACAAGATCTGCCCTACCATCGTCCACCATCGACGGAATCGTTCCGGAATCGCAGCAAGCGCTCACTGGACTGCAACCGTCGTAGTCGCCATCGCCGTCATTGGTAAATATGTGCCAGAAAATCGACCACACCAAATAATCCACACCATAGTACATAGTTAATTTGGAGAAATACAGCGTTTAAGTTGATCCGCTCTGTGTTTCAGTTAATTTGAAAACTTGTGTGCCTTTTAGTTCGCGTAGCCCCTCCAGTTTTCCAAGTATAGTGCGGTAACTCTGAGACACAGTTCGAGGAGTCTCGTGCTGCTGAGTTGTTATCGGGTAGAACTTTAGTTTCAAAGTTCTGGGAAGAATACAGAACTTCAGGGTGGTCCGCAAATAATGTAGAAACTTTAACGAAGTTCCGCGGTATTAATAAATTGTGCGATAGTAAGGAAACTTCTGAAAAATTTCGGGCATTTCAGGGAAGCTTTAAGAACTTCAAGGTGGTTTAAACAGCTTCAGTGAAACTACAGGAACTTTTATGAATTTCTAGTCCTAGAACTTGTGGAAAATTGTGGAAATTTTATAGCTGTTCTAAGAACTAAGGCAGTCCTAATAACTTCCGGAACGTCTGGACTTCCCGACAAGCTTAAAGCTCTGTGATTATTCGTTTAGATAAATTCAGTACACCACCATGAACGCCATCAACATTTTGAGATACTTTACGAAGCTGAGCCAAAAAGTTGAGCACATTTCTTCGGGAACTTCTGGTCCCTGAAAGAACCCATTCCTCGGTAAGGAATGATTTTTCGACCTACCTTGCCATCCAATTTTTTTGCTGTAAAGATGGTCTACACAGAAAAAAAATGTGAATTTTAACTATCGCGTAAAATCTCTCCTCGTGTAATTTTGAGCTACAGTTGGCATAAACAAGGAAATCGTTTACAAGCTTGCATAAAATATTACTAATTTAAGCGATATTGCGAAATATCGAGTAAATTTATGCCAAATCTAGCGTTGATTTTATGTGCGCTATATCTCGCAGAAATTTAAATTAATTTTTCAAACGGAGTACTTTCTCTTCCTTTCGAGTGATATATTGGGAACTTAACAGAATTCCAGCGATTTTCAGGGAAGTCAATATATTAAAGGATAAAGGGTGTCCACGATGAAATTGCCACACTATGAAATTGCTCTAACTTTTTAACCGTTGGGTAGAATTTAATGAAAATTTGGGTGGATTTAGTTCATAGTGCATTATTTACATCCTGCAAGTTTTAAAGTCCTGTGATCAAAACTCGCGGAAATGGAGTCGAAAGAACAGCTCATGCGTGATAAAATCTTGCGCATTCATCACGAGAACAAGGATCTCTCGCATCGTTCCATTGCTAAAACGTTGGGAATCGCGAATTCCACGGTGTCGCGAGTGATTAAGCGGTTCGAGGAACGGTTGACCACCGATCGGAAGCCCAGAAGTGAAGGAAAAAGTATTCCGTACAACACCAAAAATCACAACCGCGTAGTTGGGACCTTCAACCGAAATCCGAACGCTTCCGTTAGGGATGTGGCTAAGAAGCTGAACCTAAGCCGAAGTTTTGTCCAGAAGGCCAAAACTAAGGCTGGGCTTCGAACGTTCAAGGTACAAAAGGCCCCTAATCGCGACGAGAAGCAGAACAAGTCCGCCAAAACCCGTGCCAGGAAGTTGTACCTCAACATGCTGACGAAAGTTGAATGCTGCATCATGGAAGACGAAACATATGTGAAGACCGACTTCAAACAGATCCCCGGCAACCTGTTTTTCACGGCCAAGGATAAGTTCAGCGTTCCGGAGCATGTCCGCACTCAGAAGATGTCCAAATTTGCGAAGAAATTCCTGGTTTGGCAAGCCATCTGCACGTGCGGGAAGCGGAGTGCACCTTTCGTGACCCAGGACACGATGAACGGACAGGTGTACATAAAAGAGTGCCTCCAGAAGCGGCTGCTTCCTCTCCTGAAGGCCCACAACGTCCCAACAATCTTCTGGCCGGATTTGGCCTCATGCCACTACTCCAAGGACGTGCTGAAGTGGTATGCGGACAATAAGGTCAATTTCGTGCCGAAAATGTTCAACCCTCCCAACACTCCGGAGCTCCGCCCCATCGAGAAGTACTGGGCGATTATGAAGCAGCACCTTCTTAAACGACCTAAGGTAGTGAAGACAGTCGAGGAACTGAAGAAAGTATGGGTTTACATGCAAAAAACGGTTGATTCACAGGTTGTGCAGAATCTTATGGCCGGGGTTAAGGCCAAGGTGCGGGCATTTGCGTATGGACTGTAAATAAAATACGAGTAAAATGGTAAAATGAAGTTTAATAGTTATTTCTCAATCCCTGAAAATTTGATGGCAATCGGATGAAAACTCGAATTTTGCGAATCAATTTTGTGTGTGGCAATTTCATCGTGGACACCCTTTATTTCAATTAATTTCAGGGCAGTACCAAGAACTTCAGGAGAATTGCGAGAACTTCAGGGTAGCTTCGAGAATATCAGGAAAGGTCAGATATCCTCAGGGTAGTTTAAACTTCAACGAAATTGCAGGATCTTTACAGAAAAAAAAAACTTTTTGAGTTAGTTAACATAAAATGGAATTGAAAGTCGAGCATAAATTCCGCAACTCTATTCCATTTTGATCCACAAATAAAAACACTCGACTCGTTGAACTCCACCCAACCATCAAAGCAGGCCTTTCATTGCTCTACTCCATCTGTGGGAAAACCAACAGCCGATGACAACACGCACTCTCGTACCTACCTACATATCCAATTCGCGACTCCAAAGATGATGATCGCAATTCTGTTCATGATGATGGTCATCATCATCATCATACGTCAGTATATCGTCACGTCGCGCGCAACGCTCAATGATTGCCGGTATTTGTGTCCTACCTTGCCGGTCTTATTAGTGGAAGACTATCCGTATATTCATTGATGCCCACGCACCACATCCATATGCAAGTGGTAGTCTACTCTCCGTCCGTCGAGATGCCCATATCTAACTACTAGCACGGAGTGAGATTACTTAGACTTACTTTACTAGACACAGGTGGCTACCGTTTCGCCTGCAGGCCCAGCTCCGGCTGATGAAATGATGATGTCTGGTAGAGTTGAACGCTCATCAGAGGTGATATAGGTAGGTACCTACCTGTGGCGCGTTCGGTTGTGTGATATGGGGCTGCGGTTGCGAGTCTGAGTTTTAGCGGACAGAGGGGTTCATCGTCGTCGGGCCGGTTGTCGTCGGTGTGTAGCCCAAAGTGTTCCAAACGAACGTGTTCAGTTTAGATCTAGACTCGGTCTAGTGCGGTTTGGTGTTTTTTTCGTTCGCAAATTTCGCTCTTCTAGCTTACCTGCGGCTGCGGTGCCCGGTTTGGAATCGGTTTGATTGTTTGAATAATCGAGGGAGGACTTGGTGCGCTGCAAAGGGAGCTCTGTTTCGTGTGTGTTGTTCATTGAAAGTGCGCTACTGCGGGAGGTGGGAGTTAAGTCAAGTAGCGAAAGATATTGCTACTCAATCTGTTTTGATACGTGTGTACCGTGTTTGGTGAAGGGCAAATATAATAAGGGTTGCTGATAAAAAAAAGTGAGTTGATTACAATTAATTAGAATAATTTCCCCATGTTATAGTGAGGTGTAGTTGAGTGGTGAATTTGGACTTCTCATTGGGAGGTGTTCAATGTGATGATTAGATGATTTTGCATCCGAACTTTAGTGAACTAGGAGCAAGGTTTAGTTGATTGCGGAATGTGAAGTGGTGCAATTGACTGTAGATGTCCATGCAAATTCAGTTTACTGGAGCTAGTGAGAGCCCGGTAACAAAGTTTGTAAACCAGCAACTGCAACGACGTATGTAACATTTTGTTGACTGTCATGGTCGTTTGAAAGATTCAGTGAAACAGATAATTGAATAGAATACAATTGTAAATAGTGATTATGTTAAGTGCGTAAAATTGGCTGAATATCATAACATCATTCTTTCCCTGTCAATCATTTCTACAATGTGTGTTGATTAGCGTTGGGTCTATCCTATGCGAACAACGTTGAAGATTGGAAAAAAGTGACTTTAATGGTCATCGATTTTATTAATATTTCTCTTAAATATTCTAATATCTACATCATTAGATCATCAAGTGGCTAATATACTGCCGCTATTCTCATAACAGTTCTGTGTTCTATGAGTTACCTATTAACATGCGACTGTTTTGCGAATAGCCGCAGTATAGACTTGGGAAAATGGAAAACGTTCTCGGAGATGTTTTGGACACATTGTGAAATATTTCAAGGCTAGCTTACAATGAACAAACAATTTAAAGTGTGTGCGTTATAAAGAAAGAGATAAGGATTAGATGGCTCGAAAGTAAGATTAAATTCCACTACCTTAATTGCTTACCCTTGACAGATAAGCTTATTTCATCTACAGTGTGCAGACTTCTTCAGTGTCTGCACATTGTAGACGAAATACGCGTATCTGTCATGAGTAAGCAATTAAGGTAGTGGAATTGAATGGAAATTACTAATCCTTCTCTCTTTATACAGGTGTCCCAGTTTGGTACACAGCAAAAAATAAATTTTAAAATCACATCAAAGTGGAAAATATGGTGTAATATTATTTACCAAAAAGGACAAAATTATCATTAATACAGTGCATGGACTAACACTACGCTGTTTTTACTGCATTTGTTTATTTATGTGGCCATTAAAATTAAATGAGATTTTCGACTAGATTGAAGTTCATCCTCTTGGATGTAATATTAAAATTATTTTTTTGGCTGTGTATTGATATATGTCGATAAAGTTGATTTATTCTGTTTGGATTACTAATTTGGCCGAAACAAACTTTAACTTTCAACAACAAAATTTATAAACGCTTAATTAAAGGGGACTTGCAGATTTTTGCGTTATTTCAAATAAACTAATTATTGTATAATTTATTGTTTCAAGATATATGCATTTTAGTGAATTGATTTTCAGAATTTTTTTTTTCTTTTTAATAATTTTGAGCAACTCTATGGATTGGAAAACGAGCAAATATCCTAGCCATTTGCACTTTCGAACTTTTGTCCTTTTGACCTTTTGTTATTCGACGTTTTGTCATTCACTCCCCACAAATCCCCATGTCCGATTTACGTGAGATATCACGTAACTGATCTGTATTTAGAAAATCTCAAATGTTACGTGACGTTAGTAACTTTGACCTGTATTACACGTCATGGCCACTAAAAATGTTGGTGAAATCGACCGGTTATTCACGTTAACAGATTTAGTGCATTTGTGTTTGTGTGTTTGGGACTTTTATGTTTCCGCGAACCGAGATTTACGTGAGATTCAGGTACAGTAAATTCAGTAGATATAAGTATCAATTTAAACACGTGGAATTTATATATGCCCGATGAAATTGCATAATATTGACTGCTTCTACATATAAGATCAATTATTTTCTTTCAAAATTCACGTAAAAATTACGTCAAAAACATTTCAAACGAAATGGAATATCACGCAAAAGCTACCAGTTTTCCAGTAGTATTCACCCCGATTTCACGTAAGCAGTTCGTGAAAATCAGGTCTTATTTACCTGAATAACTACGTAGATAATAAAAGCTGAGTTTTGATCGGCTACGTGCAATTCCGGTAAAAGTTACGTGAAAAATAGGGTGGACGAAAACCTCCTATGTCTTCACGTAAATCGGACGTGACGATTTCTCAGAGTGTTCGCCGTTTTGTCATTCGATGTTTTGTTATTCGACGTTTTGTTATTATACCATTTGTCATACAATCTATATCACATACCCACTATCAGCCCTGAGATAGGAAGTAGATTTTGTAGATATCCTGTAAAATTATGGTGGAACTTATTAGGAGTCATTCGACGGTTTGTCCATTGAATCTTTTTGTTTTGTCCCTCTTTGAATAGTTCATCTGTTTGTTCCTATTTTAATAATTCAACCTTTTCCATTCGACCTTTTGCCCTTTTGATCTTTTGCCCATGCAACCTTTTGTCCCCTTCTCATCATTCGACCTTTAGTCCATTCGATATTTTCATCATTCGACCTTTTATCCATTCGACTTTTTTTTAGTTCGTTTAGCCTTACAACTCAATCGCGTTAGCTTTACGGAGCCGATAATTCATTGTGCTCTGTTTGTAACAAAATTCTAGTAAGTAACAAAATTCTAGTAGAAGTTGGGCCGAATACTCGCGGCTTATCCGAGGTTAGAGGGGTACATTGACGAAGGATAGGAAAAGGGGAGGAGCTTGGGGTTAGGTTTTCGTTGTCTCATCAGAGCGATGAAGCCAGTATGAACGGTGGTGTGGTTCTAGATTCGTCTGGAGTTCGACATTTTCTTGCCGAGAGAAAGCAGAGAGAGCCGTACTCTAGAACAGAGAGAATTTTTGAAAAGCGTTATGAGGTCTTCCGGATGAGCGTGCCACCATGTGCCACAAATTGAACGGAGAAAGTTGATCCACTGTTGACATTTTTGCTTCAAATACGTAATATGGGTATTCCAGGTGCACTTTGAATCAAACCAGACCCCAAGGTATTTGAAAAGCAATGATTGAGTAATGTTTCTGCCCAAAAGATTAAGCTGCATCTGGACTGGGTACTGCTTTCGTGTAAACACTACCAGTTCAGTTTTCTGCGGCGAAAATTCGATCCCTAGATACCTAGCCCAAGAAGACAAGTTAACTAAGGAACTTTGCAATGGTCCTTGCAAGTCCATGTGGCACCTCTTAAGGAAACCACACCGTCATCTGCAAGTTGTCTTAGCGTGCATTGTTCTGCCAAACAGTTGTCGATATCTTTGACATAAAAGTTAGAAGAGGACTGAGACATGAGCCTTGGGGCAGACCCATGTAGCTAATTCTGGAAGTTGTCAGTTGTCCAAGGGAAAAGTTCATTTGCTTTTCTGACCAAAAAATTGTACAAGAAATTATTTAAAATTCCGGAAAGTCCACATCTGTGCAGATTGTCGGGCAGAATTTCAATGGAAACTGAATCAAAAGCCCCCTTAATATCCAAGAATACTGAAGCCAATTGCTCCTTGTGCGCAAATGCCATTTGAATATCTGTAAAAAGCAGCGCTAGACAATCGTTTGTTCCTTTGCTCTTGCGGAACCCAAACTGTGTATTTGATAGCAAGTTATTTGTTTCGACCCACTGATCGAGTCTCCGAAGGATCATTTCCTCCAACAATTTCCTAATGCACGAAAGCATCGCAATCGGACGGTATGAGTTATGGCCAGACGCTGGTTTGCCAGGTTTTCGAATTGCTATTACGTATTACTTTGACCTGTCTCCATTCAGGTGGTATAATGTTGTTTTCTAGCAAGGAATTGAATAAGTCTAGCAAGCGTCTTTTAGCGATATCTGGGAGATTTTTCAGAAGATTGAATTTAATCATATCGCTTCCCGGTGATGAGTTGTTCGTTGAAAGAAGAGCCATAGACAATTCCAGCATTGTGAATGCTCTATCCAGAGAGCCGTCGCTCGGATACGCTTCTCGAAGAATGTGTTGTGCTAGAACTGAGTCCGGACAGACCTTTTTAGCGAAATCGAATATCCATCGGTTGGAGTATTCTTCACTCTCATTAGAAGATGAATGGTTACGCATGTTGCGAGCCACCCTCCACAAGGTGTTCATTTCTGTTTGTCGTGAGAGTCCCTCGACGAAACTGCGCCAATAACCGTGTTTTTTTGCTTTGACTAATTGTTTCAGCTTTGTCTTAAGATTTGAATATTCCTCAAGGTATGTGAAGGTTTTGTGTCTACTAAAAGCTTTGAAAGCATCAGAATTTTCTACATACAATTTTGTGCATTCTTCGTCCCATTCAGGCATTCGACTTTTTGTCCATTCAACCATTTTTATCAAGTCAACCATTTGTCCATTTGACTTCTATTTAGTCCCCTTTCTCATCATTTGACCTTTTGTCCATACGTCCATTTATCCATTCGACCATTTGTCCATTCGACTTTTTATCCTCACTCTCATTATTCGACCTTTTGTCCATTCGACCCCTTTAATCATCATTTAATTTGTCCATTCGACCTTTTTTCCCCATTTTAATCATTCGACCTTTTGTCCATTCAACCATTTGTACCTTCGAACCAAAACGTCGAATGACAAAAGATCGAAAGGACAAAAGGTCCTCCGTTTGAAGTTTTGTCATTCGACGATTTGTCACTCGACGTTTTGTCATTCGACGTTTTGTCTTTCGACCATTTGTAATACAATATACATAACATACCCACTATCAGCCCAGACAGGTAGAATATTTTGTAGATATCCTGTAGCATTATGGTGGAGCGTATTATTAAAATATAGGGAAAATGGATAAGAACAATCAGCTTCTGAAAAAGAAAGGATTTCAAAATCACAAAAATAGGGTTAACTACCCCATTTCCGGCCTATTAAGCACAACCCGCACTTAGTCTTTCTTAATCTAGCGCAGTTTAGCATCAAACGGAATGTTATTATTGCTGCTGCTGCTGCTGCAATCAGGCTAAGGCCTTGTTGTCCTCTGCTGTCCGAAGAAGTCGTCTCCACTCTACTCGATCCATGGCCACAGTTCGCCACCCTCGTAGTCTG